TTTCCAGGCTGGGCAGGTGGTGTGCTGACCTCCACAGGGGCTCAGTCTTCTCTTCCTCAGGGTCCTTTCCTCTGCGCCTTTGCTGAGCATCACTCCTTGGGATGGGCTTTCTCCTCTTCAGAGTCTGGTTTGGTCCCCAGCGTGTGGATCCGGCCCGGGGCTGGGTCACGGCACCACTGCAACAGTTTTGCACCACGGGACCAGAGGACTTTCTTGGGCTGCTGTGCTTTCTATGGGGTGCAGGGGGTCCCCAAGTCCCTTGTCTGTGGGACATGCTGGGCAGAGCTGGGGGCGGACAGGATTTGCCCCAGGCTAGGATCCCCAGGGGCCACCTCCATCAGGATGGTGGCTCCAAGCAGGGCTGCAGCTTTGGTGCTTCGTAAGCAGAGGCTGTCCCCTCGCCAGCTGTGTTTTCACCTGGAGAAACTGAGTCACAGGAAACATTTGGGAAGAGTGAGGTGATTCACGTCCTTATCCCAAACCCCGCAGTGTGGATGAAGGGCAGACGCCAGCCGGATGGAGGGACATCGGTGTCCCCTCGCCGGACCCACTCAGGACCTCCCATCCCATCCCCGCGGGGCAGCTCGTGGCTGCCCGGTCTCCAGCCAGCACCGCATCAAAGCCTGGTGTCCTGCTCATGGCCACCAGGAACCGGACCTTTCCCAGCTCCCTTCATACCTTCCCCAGGCGGCCGAGAGGCTCAGCTTTACCACCTCCAGCTTTTCTTTTCCGAGCGGCTGCTTTTTCACCCGCTCACACAGGCACGTCTGCCTGAGCATCGCTGCCCTTTCCAGGCTTAAAAATAGCTTGTGAAGCACGGAGAGGCGGCAGAAAGCAGCAACCGCACCGTCTCGTGCCCTCGCCGTGATCTCGCCGTGGCCCCGCTGTTCGTTCATTCATTCCTCCGCTCCGTTCATTCATGCCTCCGCTCTGCATAGCCATCCGGGGACAGCTGTCTGTCTGCAGGCAGGTCTGCCCATCGGTCCGTCTGCATTTTCCTCTCCCAGCCCTCCTCCTACCATCCCGTTTGCATGCTGGTATTTCCACGGAGAGCCTCCGAGTTCTGTCCCACCGTGTATTGTGTGATGAGTTTTACTCGGGGCTCAGCCTGAGTGCAGCTCGTTATGAAGCAGTTCTTGACAAGCCTCCTGCCCGGGACTGCGAGGGGACAGAGGTGTTATTTCACCAAACAAACTCCCAGCGAACGATGTGCATTAGCAATGAGGGGTCGCAGCCAGGAAAATGTTACCTTTCCCTTTGAGTGCTGACTGCGGAGGAAATTCTCACATTTACAGCTCCAGCGAGTCCGGCGCTCATGGAAAGAGAGGGCGGCTTTGATTTCTCGCCTCTTGTTAGTTTGATAACTTTGCAGCCCCCCCACCTTGCATTGAGCCGCAAAAAGGAGTGTACGCGGGCTTGCAGCTCCCTCCTTGGGAGCCTGTTTTAATTTGATTTTCCCGGAGGCCTGGTATGTGGCGGGGTGTGTGTGTGTGCGTGCTGCCCCGTGTGTGTGTGTGCGTGTGTGTGTGTAGGTTAATAAAAAATAAACAAACAGCACTTTTTCCTCCGGTGCACTCTGGGAGGGATGCGGCGGGGATGCCGAATGAAAGCGTGTGCTGTGGGCTGCACCGGGGAGGGCTGAAGGGACATTCCTGGCATTGCTGAGCTCCTCGCGCAACGCGCGGGCCCTGGCCCAAATTGGAGTAAGGAGCCGTTAGCATCGGGGACCTGGGGAGGCCCACTCCTGCGCAGTGTTTACTCGCAGAGCTTAAATTAATACTGTCTGCTGACATCAGGTTTTTTGCCCGGTTTCCCAAGGAAATGAGCCGTGTGCGATCGCTGCCTCTGCGTACGTGTGTGCCTCTCTTCCCCACTTGAATCCCTGCCTAAGTTCAGCCAGATTGCAGAGACATCCTAAATGCCTCAATATAATTATTTTACTTAATTTTTTACATATATTTAAAAAAGGGTGGTTGATAGGTGGGAGAAACTGCCGATGCTTCCCACTGAGAGAAAAGCTTGCCTGTGTATGTCTGCCTGCGTGCACAGCCATAATGTTAGACATTAGAGAATCCCCGTGGAAGAGATGTATTTGTAACATCCAAACTGTGGGACGAATGTCACTGGGAGCCATTAGACACGGAGCTGTGGGAAAGCCGGCTCTGTCTGTCCTGCCGTGTGTGGGGTGAAGCGTTACCTCCTGTCCCTGGTGTGCACCGTGTTATTGTCCATCATTTGTGATGGTTGTGGTGGAGATCAGCCTGTGGAGGATCTGTCAGCTGATATTTCTCCATTGACCCTTTTTGGCAGCTGTTTTAGAAATTGGTGATGCTGGATGATGAATTCTGGGTGATAAGGAGTCTTCTGCTAAGTGGAGCTGTGATGTCCATTTTTATGGACAGAAGCTGGTTACTAGAGAAGGCAAAGAGGAGGGTGTTGGGACTGTGTAGAAATCTCTGCTCACTCTCTTTTGTAGGTTTTCTCCAAAATCTTCAGCCATGAGGCACTGGAGAGCTATCTCCCCAAGATCCAGCTGGTGATCAAAGACACCCTTCGGGCCTGGAGCAGCAACCCCGAGTCCATCAATGTCTACCACGAGACCCAGAAGCTCACCTTCCGCATGGCCATTCGTGTCCTGCTGGGCTTCCGCATCCCCGATGAGGAACTCAACCGCCTCTTTGAAGTCTACCAGCAGTTCGTGGAGAATGTCTTCTCCTTGCCCATGGATCTGCCCTTCAGTGGCTACAGGAGGGTAAGAGATTTGGGCTGAGTCCTCCACCAGCCGATAACACCAACCTGGGATTAATGGGGTGGTGGCTAATCCCCACCTCCACAGGTTCTCGGTGGGATGTCTTCTCACCCTCTGACATCTAGAAGTGAGTCCATTTTGGGCTACAAAGTCCTGTTTTGGCAGAGTAGAGGGGAAGATCCATTCGTAGGTTTTTAGTGTGCTAGGAACCGTGTGGTTTGATGCAAGGGAGAATACGGTCAGGACTTGCCCAGATTTAATGTGTAATTTTTCCTTACTTGTAACTGGCAGTTTTGCAGTATTTTTTTTGTTTGTGGGACTTTTCTCCTGTTCATTCCCTCCTGTTTCGAGGGTGAAACAGGTCAGTGGACCTTCTAATTCCAAGAACTATTCCAGTTTTTTGATGAATGATGCAAAATGAAAACATAACAAAAAACAGAGACAAAAAATTGTATTTTTTTTTCATGGGGAATTTTGGTAAAAGAAATATGGGGGTTTTAAATTTATTTTTGTGATTAGCACTGCAAATTTTGTTACTGTTATGTGACCATGTGAATAAGCCCAACCGTTTGCAGCCCCGAAGCATTTGCAGCAGCAGGTTAGCCTGGTGCAGCTGCACTCAGATAGGAATTGCTTTACTGAGACCAGGTGATAAAATTGCTTGGGAAACCCATTACACTCCCAGGAAGAGGATCCTTTTGGATTAATTCACTTTCCTCTGAGAGACAATTTTCCCAGGGACGGCTATACATCCTAGGGTGCGCCGGAGGCCTGTGAACTGGTGCAGTACTGGGGCTCCCACATCAGGCCTGTCATTTGCACGTAGGTGCTGATTACTCTTGCCTATAATCTCACCCGCTCCGGGCTTGCTCCTCCTGCCCAGGGAACAACTTCAGCATCTTTATTCTTCTCTTTGAGCATCTACAATTGCAGTTGTATTACTTAGACATGTCATCCTGAGCATGTCTGCAGCTCCTGGGGACGCTGGGCTGGGGATGGTGATGCTGGCGTCGTGTCGTGCGTGGTCTGATGGCTTCCTGCTCCGCAGGGCATCCGGGCACGCGAGACACTGCAGAAGGGGCTGGAGAAAGCCATTCAGGAGAAACTGCAGAACACACAGGGCAAGGACTATGCCGATGCACTGGACATCCTGATAGAGAGTGGCAAAGAGCACGGCAAGGAACTTACCATGCAGGAGCTGAAGGTAAAGATCTTCCCCATGGCCACCTTGTCCTTGCTGCGCTCAGCACAGGGCTCCCCAAAAGAGCAAAGCGTGAGCTGGTGTAAGGAGTTTTTGGGGCAGACCTGAGATGGTCAGTGAGAGCTGGGGGCCCACAATATGTTGTTGGAGCTGCAGGTGAATCCCGGTCTGGTGGATGATGGTGCCAGCAAGCCAGCTGCTTTCCTATAGGCCATATTTATTTGCAGTTCACACCCATCTCTCTCTCTCTAAAAAGCATTTCCAGGGAATACCAAAAGACCATATAAGTTTGCTGAAGCTTTCAGCCTTGACCAGCTTCACCCCTTGACCTATCCAGTTTTATGGTGCCTCCTTTGCAGGGCAAATGAGCCCTCAGCAGGTTGTTGTCTGCAGCAGGGTCATGGCGTAACTTGTCCTTCTTGTGCTATCAAGAGCCATTCCCAGTTTTTTTTCTCCTGCCTGCCTGGCCCTCAGCATCCTCCAAGGCTCTGCGGGAATCTCCCTGTGGCAGATGTCCAAGACCCGTGCCTGCGCAAGGAGAGACGTTGCAGTTAGACATGACCAGGCTGGAGAGCTGCTGGGTGTGGGGAAATCTCTGCAGCGTCAGCTGAGAGGGACAAGGAAAACGTCTCTGGGGTGGGAGCATTTCTGCTCTCGTCCTCCCGTGAGCAGCAGCAAACACATCCCAGCAGCTGGAGAACTTGCCCATGCAGAGGGCAAGGAGGGGGAAATGTCCCTTTGCCCCGTGGCGCTGCATGCCTTGATATGGAGGGGAAGGAAATGCCCTGCGGCAGGCTGCTACAGCCCGCGTGCCTGTCCCTTGACGTGCCACGGCTGCTGGCCTGTCTGTCTGTCCATCCCCCATGTCTTACCCTGGCTTTGCTCTTGTCTTTCAGGACGGCACCCTGGAGCTCATCTTTGCTGCCTACGCCACCACCGCCAGCGCCAGCACCTCTCTGATCATGCAGCTCCTCAAACACCCCCGGGTTTTGGAGAAGCTGCGGGAGGAGCTGCGCAGCAAAGGCATCCTCCACAACGGCTGCATCTGCGAGGGCTCCCTCCGGCTCGACAACATCAACAGCCTCCACTACCTGGATTGCGTCATTAAGGAGGTGCTTCGCCTCTTCACCCCCATCTCCGGGGGGTACCGGACGGTGCTGCAAACCTTTGAGCTGGATGTGAGTATTGCCATCTCTCTGGGGTGCTGCTGCACAGTGAGCTCCCCAAAACAGCCTTTTGCATGTTGTAAAGCTTGCTTGAGCCTGGCTTAGATGAAACCTCAGGGAGGACAAATTACGTCCTCATGATGATGGGAAATGGACTTGCTCTGGATTCGGAAGAGAGTGATGGGATCTGGCCCGTGGCAGGGAAGGGACGCACTTGAGCTGTCAAAGAGGAGACAGGCGTGATGCTTCAAAGAGCAACTCGTGACAATGTTTGACGCCAAAAACTAAACTGGGGTGTGACAAGGGAAAGGTTTACTGCAGAGGGCATCTCCAGGCTGCTGGATGACAGGCGGATTAGTCACTGCAAATGGCTGGAATTTCCTACTAGCAAAACAAAATCTTGAGACCTGGCTTGTCGCTGTAAATCCTACTAATGTAGTGATTTGAGTCGGAAACCTTTTAAAGTGCTCAGGGGATGATAAATCCGCCCTGTTTCTCATCGCCCAGGCCCCGACATGTGCTTTGGGTGTGTGGGGCTGACAGGCGGCGGGGTGTGAGCAAAGCCATGGGATGCTCTGGGGAGGGCTGGCCGGCGTGTGGGGCACGGCACGGGCGCAAGAAAAGCTGCTTCCCTTTGCCCAGCGGCAGTCGAGCACCGCAGGGTTCCTGGTAGGCGACTCCTGCCAGCAACCGCAAAGCAAATAAATAGCAACGGATCATCCGGCGGGTCCCTGGGATAGAGGCAGGGACAAACCCAGCCCATCTCCCAGCCCTTTGTGCTGCGCTCTGGTTCTCTTTTAAATCTGTATCAACAGTAAAAAACCCGAAGAAAATGGGGAAAAAACAGTCAAAGCAAAATAGCTTTATCTTGTCCTCCTGCTCCCTCCTTCTTTACAGTAGGGTTGACTTGCTCTGGTTTTCTCTCCACCCCTTCCCTCTTCTCTGCAGGGTTTCCAAATCCCCAAAGGCTGGAGCGTGATGTACAGCATCCGGGACACCCACGACACCGCTCCCGTCTTCAAGGACGTGGACGTCTTCGACCCCGACCGCTTCGGGCAGGGTCGAAGCGAGGACAAGGACGGCAGGTTCCACTACCCCCCCTTCGGAGGAGGCGTACGGACCTGTCTGGGCAAGCACCTGGCCAAGCTCT